AAATTTGAAAACACATTTACTGCTACAAAAGAGCAACAAGAAAAGCAAGAAACAACTCTTCAAATTTTCACTTAGAATTTTTAACACACAACAAGCAAAATGTACGTAAAACTTTAGCTCCAGTCTCCAGAAAGAGAGACAGAAGGCAAAAAACTAGAGAAATGACAGACCGAGGGAGAGATGAAGATAGCAAGTCAGAGACAGATAGAGAGATAGAAGCTATTACTGTTTTTTAATGCTCTTTCCTCTGTATTTCTTCCTTTCACAGTGCTGTGGAACTTTGCTATGAGATGGCAATTGCTGCAGTGATTGTCCTCCATGGGAGAGCAGAAAAATCCAATTTCATCGATATACAAGGTGAAAAGAAAGAAAAAAAGAGAAGAAAAATCCCTCCTGCAAAAAAAATGAGGCATGAAGAAAAAAAAAAAAACAGAAAAGGGAGAGCTATAGAGAGAGAGACAGAAGTGGTGTGTGGTGGGAGGGAGGGCTGGAAAGAGACATGGTAGGAGTTTTAAAAAAAAAAAAAAAAAAAAAAAAAAAAAATGGGCAAGTTGATTGTTAAATATGAGATTGTTTTACAGCAGGGCAGGTATTGAGTGAAAATGTAATAAATATATAGATATTGTTTTCAGGGGCTATTTGGTAGCTGTGGCCACAATGAGCGGCAGCAACAGAGGCAGCAGGCTGAGCTCCCTGGGAGCCTGGTGATGGCCTGTCACTGGAAGCCCCTCTGATGAATGGCCATGTTGGATTGGAACAGACATGTAATATATATCAGACTTATATTCTCTCCCTCTCTCTTTTGGTACCTCTTTCCGCTGGTGTTCAAAATGCTGGGGGAATCCTGAGGTGACGGGAGGACCGGAGGGCAGACAGAAGGAGGGTGAAGAACGTGATGGGAGATAATATTAAGCTAGCAGTATACTCGAAGTGAAATCAAATTCTGTGCATTCACACTAGCGAAATGGAGGGTTTGCAACCAAAAAGAAGCACTACACTGGGCTTTGATAGCCACAGTGTGCACAGACTGGTTGGAGGAACTGCAGCCCACCATTACACCATGACTTGCGACTGATCAACAATGTCATGTGATTCTGGGACACATATATATATATTTTTTTTTACTTGAATGAGTTTACTTTGTTTGTTCATATGGGTTTTCTACTCAGGCATACCTTATTTCAACTCAAGCACTTGTGGTAGGTGCTATAAAGCATGCTGGGCAGTTTCTTTTCACATGCCATAAACATTTCAATCAGCCATGCGATGCTTCAAAATAAACCCTGTGCATTAGGCCTGCAATACCAAATCATCTTGCTGTACTCACACATATTACGGTGTAATATAGACATGGCGCAATAGCATGTACATAACAGTGCTGCAGCTAATAATTTTCATTACTAATTAATCTGATGATTATTTTCCAGTGATTATTTGTTTTAAGTCCATATCAAAAAATAGGAGAAAATGCTCATGACAATTTTTCAAAGCTCAAGGTAGCATCTTCAGATGTCTTATTTTGTCCAATCAACTGTCTACAACCCAAAGATATTCAATGTACATTGATTTTAAACTTACAAAAGCAGCAATTTCTCACATTTGAGCATCTGGAACCACAGAAAGTTTGATATTTTTTCTTGTCTCTGTGTATGTCTAAGCAACCTGCATGTCCAATACATTTAATCTTTCCCTCAAAAGATACATATTTCACCTTGGTATATAGATGAACTTGTATTACAGTATTTAGTGTTCTTTGCACTGTATGGCAGAGGAACAACCACAATATACAGCACTAATGTGACCCGGATGTGGATGCTTTATGCTTGTTGTCCAGCTGTTTTATATCTATTTTCATATACACTTAGGTTCATGATTGCTTATCTTTGTTTAGCTCTGCCTGTATTCTAATATTCCTGTAAATTTGTTCTCTGTACTGTCCATATTAAATTCATTCATCTGGAGTAGGCACTATTAGCTAAGCGGGAGTTATGGTGAGTACACAGGAACAGAACATGCCAAAAATAATTTTGCTTGGTATACTGCCGGGCTGACGTTGGGTTTAGAGAACAAGGAATGGACAGAGGCTGGACTGAATTCCAAACGGGGCACAGAAAGGGGAGCACTATTAACACAGTCCAAACACACGGCACCCCCTAAGAAGTCCCAAGCCGCTTGCTGCACAGTAAAACAACATGCAAAATGCTCACCATTGAACCTCAGATACACACAGGATCACACACCATCACGCAAAACGCATGCAACAACATATGGTTTCTACTTCTGTTGTGTTCCCCCCCCCAATACGCCATAAATCTTGATAGAATTTGTCAACTGAAGTGGTGGGGTGTTTGTGTGCAAGTGCTTAGGAAATACAATTAATTTATCATTTAATTCCTGTGCATAAATCAATAAACAAAATCAGCTGATTTTTGACCCCTCCTACATCTAACTGTTTCTCATGATGTAGTGCTCTTGCAACCTTTTCTTTACCATGCTCTCTTGGTCTTTATCATTCAGTGACATTTTATCTTTTTACTACTCGCCTGTCTCCTTCTTTTGCTTTCATCTTTTTCTCGTTCTTATCCTTTATCACTCACTCATAATGTCACTTTATCATAATTTCATGTGATACCTCAGGAAGAATCTCTTAAATTCCTGCGCTACCCAGTGTCCAGTCTTTTCTTTCCTATCTTGTCTTTTCTCGTGTTTAATCTCTACTTTCTCTTTTTACTCTTTCACCTGTCTTCAATACAGTATCCCTTTCATAGCTGTGTGTCCATCTCTCTCTCTCTCTCTCTCTGAATCTTCTGTCTCTCTATGAGGTGTGAAGGTGATTTGTTGACACTTTGATCTAAGGAATATTGACCAGAGGCCAGCATGGCTGATGGATGGCCAGTGCCTGAAGTCAATAAAGCCTGTGTTAGTTAAGATTCATAATTTCTCACATTTGCTCCTATAAAGGGCGATGCAGTAGAGCTACACTGTATAAAGATATAATAATAATTATATAGGAATGATAGGAATAGTACAGGAATTAAAAGAGAGAAGCTCAACTATATGACTGGATCGGTGCAGTTCAAGTGCAACAAGAGAACATTTAGGTACAGACCAAGGCCCCTTCAATTAATGATAGAAATCCACTACCACTCAGTACCCACTGGCTTAGCTTAAGAATTCATCCTCAGTGAAGGAAGGAATATTTTTACCAAAGAAAATATTGTCTCGTGTTTAATACAAAGTAACAAATCCATACTAAAAATATTAAACCAGCATGGTTAGTGAACAATTACAATTGTGCTGCTTGTTTAATCAGCTAAAAAAAACATTTAGAAATGGCAAAATAGTATATTCAAGGCAATTTCTGTAATAATGTCGTGTGCACATGCACTGATAAGCATACATAAGATAAGACACTATCTTTTCACCAAGAAAATTATTTGACATTGAGGTCAGTGTGCCCACTGAGTATACCATCATGGTATTCACAGGAGTTTCTAAGAATTTCTAAGTTCTTATTCTTCAAAGAATACATTTCGATTTACCTTCCTCTATAGAGGGCATTTAACTTTTTGAACCCTCCAAAGGGGAAAACCCCCCTTCCCAGTATGAAGGCATCACTTTAAGCACGTTTATTAGGGCACTGTATATCCTTCCTGAGATACACTTATGATTTGAAAGCAGCATGAAGCGTCCCTTTTAAACACAGTTTAACAGGGCATTTGACCCTGGTTCCCTCTTTCTCACTGGGACCAGCATGGAGCTGCCAATTGAAGTTTGCTAAGCACGGCAGCTGACCCTTGTGCCCCTCCATAGGACACTGGTTTGACAATGAACATCAGGGTAGTGTCATTTTCAGGGACACAAGGACACACACAGGGATGAATGAGATGTAACCCTTTATCCTTCAGATGGTGGAATTGAAGGTAGAAAGTAAAGGGGGAAAAAAGAGAGCCTCAGAGCAAAAGAGCGGCATTGAGACAATTACGGAGAGGCAAGGGACATGAGAGAGAGAGAGCGATGCACGTCACACTGGGGAAAGCATGCAGAGTTTAAGTTGAAGGATGATAACAAAAACAGTGGGGTAGATAGATGAAGAAAAAGAATAAATATGACTGTACTTTAGCTGAGCCCAGTGGTGACCAAGCTCACAGCGAATGCTGGCTGAATTGTGTGCATGAATCCGCGCACTTGTTTGTGTGTGTGCTTCTGTGTGCACTGCTGTGTGTCGACGAGGGCATTATACATTAATAGAGGTATGATATGAAAACTTTTCCCCAGGCAAAAACTAGAGCTGCAGTGCGTGATGTATGTTCTTGAAAATAGCAATGATGTCATCTAGCTTGGTGACTGCAGCATTTAGTTTTTACTTTGCCTTCTGTTGTAAAATGGAAAGTTATCTTTTGCAACACAATTAGATACTGTATCTTCCACCTTGGATATTCTTATTAGTTGTGTTTGGTTTTATTCTATTATTTATCTTTTTATATCATTCTTGTGAGACCAGAACTATTGTTTTCTCTTCAGTGTTTTGCTTAGTCATCGTAAAAACAAAAAGTTTAAGGCAGTTTTGTTAAAAGCAAGTTTGTGTGCAATGAACCACCTTCCATGAGCATGCAGTTTAATACACACGACGATGTATGTATAGCTCTATAAAGAGTATGTACAGTACATTTGCCGGGCCCTGTCTATGTTATCAGCTGGTTTCAGCTTTTTAAAAATGTGTTGCTATCTGCATTCCTAATGTTAAGATCACCACCCTGTGATCAAGAACACATTTCTGTTTTATCATTTGAGAAATTTGAGGGGGGGGAAACACGAGAACTGAGCTGATGAAGGGTTATAAAAGCTATATTAATTAACACTAAGATGATTCAGATATTGCTATTTCTGCAGTAACTGGTTGATTCTAGTTTTATGAATTGGGCTGCATGAAACCGATGTCCATATAGAGGCTTTTTTTTTTTCTCCCAGGTTTGTGTATGTTGCAAACTGTTTCTTACTCTCTCCTCCAGCCGGGCCACCTGCTCTCTGTAGAAAGCATCCTGCTTCTTTATGTCTGCTTCTCTGGCCTCCAGCTGCTTGGCCTAAAAAAAAAAACACACACACACACACACACACATACACACACCATTACTTATGTGCTCAGTGGAGCATTGACAATTATAACAAACAAACACACATACACAAGTACACATACAGATGAGAGAGGCCCATAGTGACGCCTGCCTGTATGTGCACATTTTGCTTAATGTGTGGAAAACACACCTGTGTGCAAGACCAATGATGTCTTGGCAGGTATTGTATGTGCTTCTTTGACCTCTTGTACTAAATCTTCAGCCAAACCTCTATCAGGCCAAAAGGGATAACATCAGTTCTCAGTGCAAACAAGCGCCATAGTCTGGCATATATATATTTACCCGGCCTACCAATCTCCACTGTCCTCCCCTCTACTGTGACCTTCACTAAACATACGGGTGACTCTCTAGGTGAAATACAGACCAGATAAGATGTGGATGTATCAGCTTCCAGAGAGGAAAAAGCAGACCTCCACAATGTGATAGAGGTTCAATGACTCAGATCAAAACATAAATTTAAATTTTATTAATAATATTAGAAGTTTAACTCTCTTTACAGATACGACAACACTGTTTTGAGGACCACATATTTTTAATTGTGGAATTACTTCTCATCATATATATGTGTGTATACCAATTGCTATTGACAGTAATGTTAAAACCGGATTTATAGACTTGTGAAATTGGGACAAGTAAGCCAGAAACATTTCTGACATTCAAAAAAACAAAAAAAACAAGTGTATAATAGAGTATAAAAAAACAAGAAGTAGAAGACCTTTACACAAGAAATAGTGATGTGTTATTCAAAGCCATAGAGAACTTTAGGACCCAACCAAAAGCATTTTGTATTACTGCTATGTTCTGTTAATAAGTCTTCAGAAAGAAGCTGAAATCATCATCTCTATAATTTTACACAGCATTTGAAGCAAGAGAGCTGTAAAATGGAATCATCAAAATGTGGGGGAGCTGCAATACCAGGTGGAAAGAAAAATGTAACATGTCAAAGAAGCTGAATGGGGAAAGAAATCCTTGACTCTATCATGCAGAAACAGTGAGACAGAACAGTAGACTCGAGGAGAAGGTAAAGACCTACAGACTTACCTTTCGTCCAATCTCCTGAATGAAGGGAGCATTGAAGGAAAACAAGAAAGAGAAAGAGTGTAAAGAGGCACTGATTTATCCATGAACTTCTTCAAAGTGACATTTGGAAAAATTTAGTATTCAGAAGCTAGGGGTGACTGGCTACCACACTGTTCTGCTTGAATACTCACACTCAATCCTCTCAATCTCTTCTCTCATTGGCATATAGACACACCGGTAGCATCGCACATAATACATGTATGGTATATAACCATAGACCATATTTGTATGAACATATGCACAGTTACATACCAGGGTTGTTCCTGGCTCAGAATGGGCCTTTGGGGGGCGACGTGCAGTAAAGGTAATGACTTACTTTATGACCAAAATCTAGCATTTTCTTATTTCTGACGATTTGATAAACAAAATATATCCACAACCTGGAAAAATAAGTATAATAATATATTTACAGGTTACACTTGATTTGGATAATCTGCCTACAGATACTTTTGTAGTCGAGATTCAGCTGTTTCACAAATAAAACCATTCTCTAATTTTAGCCTACACCACTGTAGTTAAGGTTTGATTAGTGCTAATGTTTGTGTATTCATTATAATTTCAGATAATAGTACAGGCTACCATAGCTTACCATTAGTAGCATTATCTTAATTCTAGTTGGACAAAACAGCAGTTTAATTTTGTGGATTGTTTTCAGTCATTAAATGATTGTGCAAGAAAACCACTCTACAAGGTCGTCGGTCTCTGACCGTTGCAATGAGAATGCAAATAACTAACATGTCAATAATAAAAACTGCATACAGAACAACGAGTTTAACATTTCTAAAGTCTGCTGTAGTGCCTCAACCAGTGTCCCACCTACTCCAGGCTGTGAATGGTCAGTTCAAGAAAGGTAACTTCAACGAGCAACTATGAACATGGCTGCATGAAATTAGCAGGAAGGAGAGAGCGGGAAAAGGTGAGCATCACGTGGTGCACAGAGAACCTAATCTGGAGAGGGCAGAGGAGAGGACTGGGGCCGGTATGCCAAAGACTAAAATGTAAAAGTGGTATATAAATACCGGTACACTTCAACCACAAACGGCTTTTATATTGTGAGAAATAACAGGAAGTCATCTTGTTGGCGTTAATGTTAGCTTCATAGTGGAGTGCTCAGGCGCAGTCTAACCAACGCAGCAGCTGGTTTTTTAATCCAGTGCCTGCTGCATTTATAAAATAGACTGTAGATGAGAGGAGAGGTGGCTGTTGGAAGTAAAGACGTTGTATTTACGTTTATGTTCTGCTTGCTCAACAGTTGTTTGATAAATGGCTATTAAAACACATTAGGAGAATATTTGAAACGCTCTTTTACCCAATTCTGATCATTTTGGCGCTGGTGATTTTCCTTTGGCGCTCACTAAAACCTCTTTGGGGGGGCACCAAAATATTTCTCTATGCAGGAAAAACCTGCATACATTAAAACACAAATACGCACAGTGACATACAGGTGTGTGTGTTTGTGTCAGCCTGGACTGTAGCCCGTTTCCTCAACAATAAGTCCTGCATCAACAGGGACATCAAGGTCCTCCTGAATGGAAAAAAACAGAGCCTTTGGGGGAAGGGGCCGGGGACAGGGAGGAGCCCAAACTTATTCCTTGTGAGCTTAGGAGCACGATCAAGGAAGGCAAGGACATCTACAGGAGAAAGATGGAGACCGGACTGCAGCAGAACAATACCAGGGAAGTGTGGAGATGCATTGGCCTCACTGGCTATAATCAACCAACCTGAGACTAAAACAGTAACCAAGAATGGGAACCCCAAAGACTTAAATGACTACATGCCAGTGGCAGAAACTAATACTCTCCTACCTCAGGCCCCTGGTCAGAGCCGTACTGAAGTCCCTGCAGTTTGTCTACCAGGAGAAAATCAGAGCGGGTGACGCAATCATTTACCCACTACACCAAGCTTATTTCAACCTGGACAAGGCCTGGAGTACAGTGAGGGTCACGTTCTTTGATTTCTCTAGTGCTTTTATCACTATACCCTGCTATTGGGAGACAAGCTCTGGGCCACGTGGGTGAAGATTCCACTTGTATCCTGGATTACAGATTACTCCAATGGCAACGAATTCTTTCTAATATTATTTACAAAGACCCAACAATTCTCACCATGAGAAAGCACTTGGCCAAAGTGGCAAGGGAAAAACTCCCTTTTAAACCTTGAGGCAGGGCTATAGACTAACCTTTTTTTCTAGGAGCACTGTAAACTGAAGACTCAGAATTTAAGAGGCACTGGCGCAAAATGTTGGGGTTATGTTAAATCAGCCTGCAACGCAAATTTTCACATTTTCCCCATTTTAACTGTGTTACTGATAAATGCTTTGGCAATTATTTTGATTGAATGGTGCTTAACAAATGCACATTCAGAAATGTAAACAAAGTATTATTGCAGTCATTACACTGCAAAAACCAAACTAAAACAAATACATTAAATGTAAACATGACATAAGTAGTCACTTTACCGTCATCAGATGACTTAATGGTAGCTAACTGCCTGTGAAATGCTACTGAAAGCGGCGATGCCGTTTCATTTGTGTATCTGTCTCAGGATATTTTATGTTTTAAGCTGTTGTTGTGCTTCGTGTTTAAACTGTGCCGCTTCATTTGCCTCGGCACAATGGACTTTCCCTGCATGTTGTGGACCACATCTAGTGCAGTAGATACAGTTCATGCCTGGTGCTGGTGTTTTTGCTAAGTATAAGCCATATAAACTCCCTCAACCATTCCTGTTAGATACAGTGCGTTCTTGCCTTTTTTGCCACGACCTCTTCTGACTCTAACGCCAACCTATGCAATTTACTGTTGTGAAGGGCCTGGCTCTGGTACAGGAGGAGTTTGTATCGCTATAGTTGACTTTTACGGACGGACGGAAGTGTAACGCCACAAAAGCAAGACACATGAGTGTAAATGACATTACCCACGCAGTTGACAAATCACTCACGGACCCACCCCCTCTCACACACAGCAGACTTGCTCCCTCCTTGTTTTTCAACATGAAATAAAAAACACAAAAAGTCGTCAGGTTTGCAGGTCGCACAATACTCGCACTGTTTCAAAAAATTTGCTCGCAGTCTGGATCCCTGTGAGCAGAACCTAGACACAGGAACCTAACCTAGGTGGGCGGCCATCTGGCTAGCCCGCAGAGAAGCCCTTGCTTTAAGCTTTGTAAAATGTTGCAAGAGTGAGTATGAAGAAAATACTACGTATGGAGAAAAGAAATTGCATTACCCCATCCAATCTCTACTACAGTGATAACCATCTGTGTTTGGCTACTCAATGCACTGCAGGCGGAGCTGCGTACTCTATGCATTGTGATGAGGAGTGGCAAGGAGTGTCACCGAGGGGCTCTCCTCACAGGAGATGAGATGGGGAAGTTTCAAAGTCAAGGGGATGCTCCAAGCTTACACTCCACACACACACACACACACACACACACACAAGACAGAAACCTACCACATCTACCACACAAAATATCATCCACAGACCCTGAGAAAAAAATTAACCCTCCATAATACCACTTGATCACATTCCTGACAGCAACACTATAACCAAGCTGCTGCTGTCTCTGCAGTGCTCAGCACAACCTAACATTAACCAGCCTTTTTGTTATCGTTGCAGTCAGACAAGTGTCTCTATGTTACCCTTGCAAGTCTGAAGTGCTATTGTGTGGTCAGTGTTATACAACAGCCAAAGCCGCCTGCACATAAGATGGAATCAAGCTGAACTTAAAATTAAATAATAGTGAAGAGTGAATGTACCCTGAAGTACACCCTTAAAAGTATGCTGTAAGTACACTAGAAGTAGCACCATTATGACCTTTAAATGTTTTATCGATTTCAAGAATGCAATCAAGGCTCCTACGATAGATTGGCA